AGTAACCACTCATGTTATTTGCTGCCGATTAGAGTTCTCTGCAGTTATTCCACAGCAGAGTGGCCACACTTGTTAAATTGTTCATTCTTCTCTTCATAGACAGAGGGGAACAAACACATTCTTGTGTCTTGGTTCTCAGTGTGTTTATGTGTGTGAATGGGGAGAGAATTAAATGTGCTTTGAAAGCGTTTCTCTTCTGCTGCGTTAAACCTGCCTCTTTGCCTTGTCTTGTCTCTTTTAGGTCAGATGTACCAGCAGTACCCGCAGCAGGCTGGCTATGGCACTCAGCCCCAGGTGCCCCCCCAGCCGACGCAGCAGTACGGTATTCAGTATGCAGGTGAGCGGGTGTCCAGAGGGAGCTGTCTCTGTACTCAAGAAACTTTAATTCTTTCCCCCTAATTCCTTGATTTGTTATAGTAGGTATTAAGTATTTACTTGGGGGGGGGTAATAACACTTGTTTTATTTATTTTTAAATATTTTGCATAAAAATTTTTACTGTAAATCACCATTTCAGTTTTCCAGTGGGCAGGTAAAACTTAAAATCATAGTAGATGATTCAGTAGTAACCTGTAGTATAAAAGAGTTTTTAATACAAAGTTACCTCCCACTGATGTGATGACTTACCTGCTGGGTGATGTAGAGCTACAAAAATGCAACATTTTTTCCTCCATTATATGTAACACATTATCCCAGTGTACTCTTAGTACCTGTAAAAGCATTAACAGTTCCCTCATGGAACTTTCCATGGAACATGGAAAGAGGTGGTTTTATTAAATAAGAACCAAATTAAGCTACATAGGTTTTTAAATCTCCCAAAAGTATGTAGGAATACCAAAAACAGGCCATAAAAGTAGAATTGTGTAAAACGTAATTCAGGCAACTAAGAACATAAAAATCTCTCAGTGTAGCTTTGAATACTGTGGTTATAATTCAGGTAATTTTTACATTTGTTATATCTGAGAATTTTGTGTTCAGCTCTTGTTTTACAGTCAAAGATTTAAGTACCAAAATTTCAACTGTAATTTTAGAAAAGTAGTAAGATTAACTCTACAAGAATGAGCAAGGAACATGCAATAAACATGAAGGAAAACAGTCAACCTCATTAGCAATCCCTTGTGTACACATTATCTCATTTAATATAAACATTAACTTAGGTATCATCGAAAAGTCTGAGATTAAAGCTCCATATAGTAGACTGCTGCCAGTGAGCCTAAGGATCTCCCACTCAAAAAAGCCTAATCATTTTCCTCAGTAAAAATGACAGGGTACAACTATTCTTAAAGCAAGTGTGTGCTCTTTTTTTTCCCTTAAATGTGCTTGGAACTTACGGTGAAAACACCACCCCTGCAGTTACAAGGTTCAGAAACCATGCGGCCCCCAAAGCCTAGAATAGTTACTGTCTGGTCCTTTACAGAAAAACGTTTGCTGGCCCCCTGAATTAGACCATAAAATTCTACCATTGGAGTCTGACATATTTTAACACAAAGAACAATTTTTATTTGGATTGGATTTGCTGTGGAGTGATTTAACCTGTAACTGCTAGTTTTTAATTATATAAAATAGGTGGAATGAATTTGAACTTGGACTATATTGGGGGAAGGTTATTTTTAGGATGCAGTCCTTTAAAGAAAATCTGTGTTACAAATTATATAATTTGTAGAAATAATAGATATTAGAGTGGGAAAGACCTAGTTATCTAATCCAGGGGATTTCAGTCTTCACCATACTTCAGAATCACCTGGAGAGGTGTTTTTTGAAAGTTACAGGTGCCTGGGCTCTACTCCCAGCGATCTTGTTTTATTTGGTCGAGCATGGGACTCAGGCTTTTTTATTTTAAATGCTTTGCACGTCATTCTAAAGTGCAACCAGGGTTGGGGACCACTGATCTTGTCCCACCCACTCATTTTATAAATGAGACAACTAGGGTTCAGAGAGTTGTGATTCATCAAAGGACATGCAGCCATTTAGTGGGAGAACCAGACCAGAACCCAGTATCCTTGACTTTGTAGTTAATGACTTCCCTATATCATTCTACATTCTCCAACCATGACCAGGGGTTGGCAGACTTTTCTGCCATAAAAAGCTAGATAGTAAATATTTTAGGCTTTGTGGACCATATGACTCCTTGTTCTTTAAAATTCATTTATTCAGAGAACCACAGAATTTCCATTTCTTGCCATTTCTGGCAATTTGCACCAAAGTTACTCATTTATTTTGTTTTTCAAGGGAGGGGGGATGGTGGTGGGAGGAGGAGAGTATATACATATAGAGGTATTGCTATATTATGGTCAAAGACTAGTAGGTTGCTAATGAAACAGCATCTTAGGCCCTTAGGGGTTATTCCATCTCTTGAAAAATAGATATGGTTGTCCCCAGATGCTGTTAAAAAGCCAGTTTAGATTTCACCTGCCAGGATGAGAAGACAGCTTTTTTTTTTTGCTCATAATCTTAAGTTGAATAGATATTTTCAGTATAAAAGCTGAGTCCTTCTGTTTCTCCAAAAACTTACAGTAAAAAAATTTTATGTAGAGGATAGAAGAAATTGTATGACATCAATGAATTGACTTTAGTTCAGTATTTAGATACTGCCATGAGTAAAATGCATTAGATATTTGATTTACTTATTAAAAATTAAGCTTGCTCTTAATGATTTTAGTCAGGGTCTTCACTGAGTAAAGTTTAGTTCTTTTCAAATTATTATCTCTGTATGTCTGATCCTGCTAGTCCTATTAACTTGAATTTGGGAGATATGGAAATAGTCAAGTAAACACTCTGCTTGGAGACTAAGTGGTGGTGGTAACATTGGACCATCTTTGACACTCTGACACTTTGGCAGTTTCCCTCTGTGACCTTTTCCAGTTTTATTCATGGACTGTGTCAGAAAGGTTTCTTTCATGAGTAAATTTTGAACCCAGGTTCAAGGTGAGTTCAGAATATACTCAAATTCATTCAATCCTTTTTATTTTTTTAAATGCAGGGTTGTACATATTTTAATAATTTTCTTATGTATCTGGTATTTAATGCTGACAGGATTCCAGTCAATGGAGAGGTTTCATTGCAAGTAGCTGCAGGTGTGTTTCATGGTAGAGATAAAAGTTTTTAGTGAAGCAGACCTTTTATTTTAAAAGACTTTACATCCTAGTAACTAATGAATATAGATGTTGATTTTTGTGGGGCAATATGATATGCTTTCTGTGTGTTACATTGTTACTGCTAAGCCAGAATTTTGAATTGTGAAGGCAAAAACCTTTACATCAGATACCAAATCTAAAAGAAAGATTTTAAGGATTGTGAAAATTGGCACTTAATGTTTATTCTTAAATGGCTTAGTTTTTATAGAGTGAATAAACCTTAAAGCATCTCATTAGCACAATAAGATGTATTTGTAGCACCATTGTTTCATTTAAAAATATTCATTCTCTACAAATAAAATGTGTTTTTATTTGGTACTGTTATTAAACAGGCCCCTCAGAACCAGGTTAATGACTAGCTTTTGCATTAATTCCTGCATTTATCATTTGAACATCTACTCTATACTGGGAGTTATGCTAGAACAGGAATTTGCTCTCAGGGATTATGCAGTGTAGGAGGAGTTGAAGTAGAAGTAGTATATATAGTGGTTTTAATTTTAGAGGGTTTACAAAATTGTCTAGAAAGTGCTTCTTGGATACTATGTGGTCTTGAAATATAGACTCTGCTACTCTACTCGTTGCATAAATACTTAGGATTAAGTTTGTTAAATTTCTCATTTTTTTGTCCATAACAGTAAGACTAATTCTCTGGAAATTGGTCACCAAAAGGAAAAATAAGATATGTACGTTTTGCCTTTTCAGCAGGCTACAGTCAGCAGACTGGACCCCAGCAACCTCAGCAGTTCCAGGGATATGGCCAGCAGCCAGCTTCCCAGGCACCGGCTCCTGCCTTCTCTGGTCAGCCTCAGCAACTTGCTGCTCAGCCGCCACAGCAGTACCAGGCGAGCAGTTACCCTCCACAGACCTACACTACCCAAACTTCTCAGCCCACTAATTACACTGTGGCCCCTGCCTCACAACCTGGAATGGCTCCAAGCCAACCCGGGGCCTATCAACCAAGACCAGGTTTCACTCCACCTCCTGGGAGTACCATGACCCCTCTTCCGAGTGGGTCTAACCCTTATGCACGTAGCCGTCCTCCCTTTGGTCAGGGCTATACCCAACCTGGACCAGGTTATCGATAAGGAGGAGGCTCAGTTAGTTACACTGATGAATGTAGCTGCTAGCTGTTCGCCTCCCAAAAGACTCCAATACTACTCTTTTAATTTGTATTGAAGTTCACAAGTTTAAAAAGCAGAGCATTTTTTTATGATATCATTGTTGCTGTTAATTGAAAGTTAATTTGCTGGAAGAAAAAAGACCAAAATGAAAGTTTTTTTCCTCCCCTGCTTAAAATTGTAGCAGCTCCCTAGTTATTTTGGAACACTACTCTTACATGTGTGCAAAGTGATTGACTTTCTAGCTTGCCTTGTCCAGAGGATATTAAAATGCTAGGTTGAAGTTCAGCCATCTTACTTGGCTTTTTACCATTAACATGATGTACTAAAGTAGATCCCTTTGCGAAGACTAGATAGATATTATGTATAAATGTAACAAACATTGATAGGTTAATAAAGAAAGATGATTGAATCCATTAGTGGTCTTGTAATTTAATTTAGTCATTGACACTATATGTGTGTGTGTGTATATGTGTGTGTATATATATATATATATATATATAAAAATGAGAAAAAATACAAATCCTTATTGATGTTTTGGTCTTAAAATGAAGTATAGACCTTTTATCTTTTATGCCTTTCTTGTGAAATAGATTTCACAAGAAGATAGATTAGAAGATAGATTATATAATATTATTATATATAAATAAACACAATAGATTCAGTATTAAAAGGTACAAGAGGGGTTTGGTAGATCCTAAATAACTTGTGATTTTCCTTATAGAAATGAACCATTCAGAAATGAAGAACTCGGTCTTAAAAAAACTACATCTCTTTATTGCAGAGTTCATACTTGTTTGAAAAATATAAAATGAAGTATTGATAAAACTGAAGCATGGTGAAAGGTGGTAAGCACAGAAAGGTCCTTTAAGGAGGAGGGCAACAATGCAGCATTCCCATCTCCCTCCCCAAATGAAGGAGAAAAATACTTTTTTTTTTTTAAACATAAAAACGAGTCAGATTTTCATTACAGGTTGGATTAGACAGAATTACAAAAACAGCCTCTGATACATTCATTCCCTAGAGATCTTCTGTGTAAAAATATAGTAAATATCCTATAAAATGGCAGGGATCTCATCATGCATTATCCTTTTGTGCTTAGACGTTACAGTCAGTCTCTGTATACAGCTTGATTAGAATTATATTAAAAACAGTAGGAACACAACTGCTTAAAGGGATAGTTTGACAAATAACATTCAGACATTGTAACATGTTTATGGGTAGAGAAAGAAAAAAAGATGTATTTTGAAACGCTATATATAATTCTCAATTCTATTTATAACTGAAATGAAATTTACTGATTCAAACAAAATCTTTTCAATAATTTGCAGGTATTTGAGGAAATGTATACTGTCATGAATGGTTAACTATTTAAACGCTTCAGAAAAGATATTCAGCTGTTGCTAAAAAGTTGAAGTTTAAATAAACATGTGAATATTAGCACCTTTTTCCCCCAGATATATATGCTGAAGATAATTTGATCTAATAAGTTAAACCAAGTAGAGGTTTATGGAATTAACTCACCAGTAGGAAGAATACAGAATAATAGTATTTTTTAAAAAGTATATTAGTTTTTTGATGTTAATTTTGTTATAAAAGTATCTCAAAACATCATTACAACAATGTGATAAATAATATACAAATGATCTCTTAAAATACCATGAATAGGGAGCCAGCTTCCCCAAAAATGTTATTCTGTTAATGTCAATATTTTGCTTTCTTTAAATGACTTTGTAAAACCTGATAAATATTCTTAGCAATCTTCCTAGTAAACATCTAATATTGCTATTAATTAGATTTTAAACTTTTATACATAGTAAACATAAGAGCTTTAAATGCATGTGACAAACACCATACTGTTTCCAATTATTTTTGCCATGATGAAACAGAAGGCACTTCTGAACGTGATTGCAGCATCTACCATTTTCCAGGAATTGTGGTCCCACATTCATACCACTGGACATAATTGATTTGGGTGTGACCACCAATTTCTCCAAATTGGACAGGTTCCTGGCGAACTGCTCTGAAATAGCCTGAGAGAAAATAATTAATTTTAATAGCTGCTATGATATATTTTTGTCCTCAGTGCTCATAGGTTGAAGGGTGTCATTGAATGCCTGAAGCTTACTCTAGGTGAAGCAGAGTATTTTAGAAAAAGGATAGTAAGAGAGGCCCTGGTGTCTTTCCTGAGGTGGTAATGGCTAGCTGAACATCAGGGACACTTGAAACTCCTTGACATCTGCCTTAATCTAGGATGGGATGGTTGGTAGTATTTGAGAGATAAAGCTGAAAGGGGGCAGGAGTTGGAGGGGTTTCGTGTTTTGTTTGAGTATAACTGACCAAGTTCAGTACACACTTTGACCTACGTAAAAGTGTACTTTCTGTACTTTACAGCCTAGTGGTGGTCTATGAAGTTACCTGGTTAAAGGAGTGTTGTACTAAAATGTTAGGAAACAAAAGAAGGATTGGTCTAAGATTGCTAGATTTCTCAGAACTAAAGTTTGATGAAATCTTCCTTCAAGGACCCTACACTAAGTGATTAAAAATTTTGCTGTGAATGTAAAATGTTACAGAAATAGACACAATTTACAGTATATTGTATATCTGGTTCCTGTGAGGCAGCAGTTTCAATTTTCTGATAATGAGTTCACAGATCTTATTAAGTAACCTTTTACTGTGGTTGGTATTTTTAGTGCCAGTGACCAAAATGTGATGCTGAAAAGACTAGTCAAATAATTTTAAGTATTTAACAAGCCCCTCTTGGTAACTCCTGAGTAACATGGATGTGTAATTTACCCTTTCTTACCCTACCTGGACAGGGATTAAATTAATTTTCAGTCTTTTCAATTCTTACTAAACAGCTTGGTGCTAATGTGTCCGTAGCAAGTTACAGTGGTTAGTCATTTCTCAGCAGAATTCTTCTATTTTAATTGTATTTATAGAATTATTTATAAGGCAAGTAACATTCTTTTTTCCTTCTACAGTAGTAGTAAAGCTTTGAATTTCTTTAAAATTTTTTAAAAAGGAATAAAAAAAAATGCCTGTGTGCTCGGTATGACAAAAACCATAAAAGTAGTGCATGAATGATTTAAGCTGGGGAAATTAAGCTTCTTTTTTTATAGCTGTTTTTAAGCTGCTCTTTTATAGCTGCTTTTGAAAATTCAGGTTTTCTTAAAGTAGAATGGATTTATATAAGATGTTCTGTAATTCCCCTCAGCTCTAAGGAACAGAGTCTTAAGGAATGGGAGGAAAGTGAAGAAACTTCTATTAAAGTCTTCATGTTAAGGTCTTATGTGGGAAGTCCTTTTTCCTAGGCAGATGGAGTAGTAGTACTACAGAATTATTTTTAAAGTGATTGATTTTCTCAGCTTGAATGTTTTTTGGGTTAATTTGTAAAAGCCTCTTACTTACGAGGAGGCTCAGAAAACATACCTTCTTTGGTGGGTAACTGGTCAGAAGAGAGTTGCTGTCCTGTGCGTCCATCTAAAAATGAGTCTACGAACTGGCAGTGATCTTCTCCATGGCCTCTCTGATCACCTATGTTATAAAATTTTCCTGAAAAAACAAATTAAAAGGATCATGAAGTATTGCTGCCTTTGATATGGGAGGACTCTGAAATAATCAAATTGTTTCAAATAATCTGTCTTCCTTGTTCTTCTCCCCCCTTTCTTTCCAGTTCGAGCCACCAGTGTTCCTTGATTGAACTATGGAATCGTCTCCCAGCTGGCGTCCCTGCTTTCACTCTTGCTTTTCCCTATTTTTCCTCCCCTCCTCCTTTCACAGATTAGTCATCTTTTAAAAACGCAACTCAGATAGTGTTACGCCCCTCCATCAATCTCTCCAGCAGTCTTCTGTTATACTCAGAATAAAACCCGGGAGTCTTACCTGGTTTCCTAGCTCCGCATTTCATGCTGCCTGATCTTCCCCTTACTAAGCCTCAGCCACCCTAGTGGAACCGGCGAGGCATTTTCTGCTGCAGGTCTTTGCGTTTCTCTTCCCTCTACCTCTGGTTCTTCATCCCTCGATCTTTGCGTGGTTGGTTCCTTCTCATAGTTTTCTTCTCGGCACAAGTGCTACCTTTTGAGGAGGGTGCTTTTCCTAACCATTCTAACTAAGAGTTTTCATTCAGCCATTTTTTCCCTCCATTTTCATTTCATTCAGCCATTTTCTTTCACCCTTTTTTTTTTCTTCAGAGCACTATATGAAATTCTCATTTACATGTTTGCTTTCTGTCTCTCCCCGCTAGATTGTAAGCTACAAAGAGCAGGAACGTGTCTTATTTCCTGCTTTGTCCCCAGCACCTGGAACAATGTCTGAACAAAGCAGATAGTTCTGTCGAATGATTGAGCAAATGTCTACCTTTCTATGTTGGGCCAATCTTATTTAAATTTTTTACTGTATGAATATGAACCCACTGAGTCTGGAGCAAGGGGTTATAGCCCTTCTGGCTCAGTGTTTTAATCTTGCTCTTGTCTCTGACAGACTTAAAATCTTAAATACGTCGTACTCCTTCCATGATTATTGTTAGATACAGTCTTTTTACTACCCGTAGGCTTTTTATCCTGGGTTGGCTGTAACAAAATTGAGCTTGGATGTGACTAGTTTTTCTACATTCAGGTTCGCCACGATGGCACCGTTTCAGATTGCATTTTCATTATTTACCTTCTTGTAGCATGTCTCAAATCCTAAGATTCCAATAACATCTTGCTCAAAAAGGAAACTTGTATTTACATCACACCTTCGTGTCTGGGACTGTCCATAGAAAAGGCTAAGTTACAGAATGCTGCAAAGCATTTCCTGAAGGATAATCCTCAAAACAGAACTGATGGCCGTGCTTACCTGTGAGGGAGTCACTCAGATAAATCTTGTATCTGAGAGAGTTGCACAGCTGCACCCCTACAAACTTTTTATACCACGTCCTTTTGACATACTGTTTGCCCTTACATTCTGAGTAAGAGTCTGAATTAAAGGGTCTTTCAGTCCAGATGGCATCTCTTCCTGCTGCATAAAGAAAGCACATGGTTTGAGTTTAGTATTTGACTTTCGGTCCTGAAGAGCTGTCTTAAAAGCTTTTAAAAAAGCAGTTTGCCAAGTTCATTGTCAACCTGCTGATAGCTGGTTTTCTCCAGTGCTAAATATTGGAGCCAAAAATATAGGAGTAAACCCCCAATTAAATTTCCATCAATGATGAGGTAAATCTTGGAGCAGTATGTGTCAGAGTTGACTAGCCTCTGCAGTGCTCAATGTAGAACAGCATCCCTTTAGGAGCAAATTTAGGTTTCTTTTTTTGCAGCATATTATACAATTTAAACAGTTGCTTTAATGTGACTTGTTATTAAAAAGTGAGGGTCCTGTATCTTGACTTAATAAACAGAAAAGTTGAGCTAGTCTGTTACAAGAATGGAAAGCAGGTTTTAAAATATTCAACTTGTTCCTGAAACAACATAGGCTGTCAATGTTACTGAATGTTTTAGGTAAGCATTCATACCTGATTGATATTCTAAGAAGACTAAATAGACTAAAGTGAAATCATGACTAAAATTCTACCATGCCCGTTTAGTTGAATCACTGTAGGAAAGCGTGTAGCTGTGTTCTCATCCAGGTAGGTACTTACCAGAAACTGGCTCACTCACTCTTGGGTCAGCTAAGGAGAAATAGCAAAGACAGAGTCAGAGGTTATTAGGTAAGTCCCAGTGTTCCAGTGACATAGTGAAGAAGATGGGTGCTTATAGTTGTTAAGGAATCTTGCAAAACGGTACACTCTTACTAAAGTCCAAATTTGAAAATTGTATATTTTGTTTTGGGAATTGTTCTCCAGTGGAGAATCTCCTCTGCCACGTACTCAGCTGTATCTTTTATATGTGATTTGTGTAGTTCGTAGTCTTCATTGCTGTTCTAGATTTTACTTCCATTTTAAAATCTTCCTCTTTTAGTTTCATAAAAAAAAAACTATTGATGATAAAATCACCAAGATGCCATGAACTGCATTTGGTGTAAAAAATTATACACTAATGCTGTGAGTACGGATGTATCTCATTAAGGAATTGAAACTTAGGCCAAATTAGAAAATTTCACGGCTGTTCATCATAAAAAACTCACATGAATTCCCTTTCTGGATACTGTGGCTGAGCGTCTGATATTTTGATTCTAGGCACAGATTCTAGGCATAGAGAGGAGCATTCATGCACTATTGAGTATAGACTGACTATATGCTTTTTTTCTTTTAAACTGATATGCCTAATGTTTTTCTGACATCAAGATAAATGAGGAAACACCCAAGGGGTGTTTCCTTAAGGGTACCTTCATCAGTTTGCTTTTTCAAATGGATGGTTTTTTTTAAATCAAATGCTTTACCCAGTGTTTAGCTAGGTTTCAAACAAGCTGTGCAAAACATGGTGACCCTTTATATCCTTGTTAGGAATTACTGCTGATGTGATTACCTGATTCAGTACTGAATGCCACCGTGTTGCTGGGTGGGCCTTCACCAAGTGGGTTTTTGGGTTTCACCTGGAACTCATAGCTGTGTAGGGGGGAAAAGAAACAAACAGAAAACAGAAATAATGTTCTTAAGTGGTAGGAAACAAACAATTTTCTTGTCATACCAACATTCTTCCTGATTCTGTTTTGAAATCATCATGACAGTGAATGGACATATGTTCTAGAAGAAGCTTCAGGAAAGAAAAATTCCTTTAATTCTGCTGTTCAAACAGCTTGTCTAATTGTTTTCTAGAAGAAAAGGGTTAAGTTAATAAAAAAGATTGTTGTCTTTTAAAAACTCCAAATTAATAGAAATAGCTGGGCAGGTTGCTAATGGACATACAGGAAAAGAGGTATGTGGTGGACCCAGGCTAATTCCAGTAACAAGGAGCCTCAGTTTCCTTCAAATGTTTAGCTACTTCCTGGGAGCGCAGAATAAATTCCTTTTTATTCCTTATTATCCCAACCCTGGGTATAGCCATAGACTTAGGCAGTGTTCTTCATTGTGGGGTTTGAGCTACCCATGTCAGAATCACATGATAGAGCTACACTGGGGCAAGTTTGTTTAAAGTGCAGACTTCTTGTTCCAGTCTAGCTACTGAATCCCTTTTTGAGGGGTTCCAGAGAGGTATTTATAATAAGTTCCTGAGGTGAATCCTGTGCCCACTGACATTTGAGAACTACTAGATAAGCTATGGGAGCAGATGTACATGAAAATATTTTGTTGCAAGAAGTTCCTGGTTATATCTCCTGGAACTTGGGTCTTCTGTGGATATAGGAAGCCACGATATATTCTGAGTAGGGGCATGGTAGTGTCAGCTCATGAAGAGTATGGGCACAAAGACACTTTTCTCTCCTTCTATAAACTAGATTTATATGGGCCAGGCCCTTAACCCTTTATGTTAAAAAAACAAAAGACAAAATAAGCCCATATCCCTTGCAGTTATGTTTGATTCTGTCCTTAAGAATTATGCACTAAATTACTATGCAATATTTGACAAACTTCATCCATAGAATACTCAAGCAGAGCAAACCCTTTTAAGTTCAAACAGTAAAGCTATTTGCTGTTTGTCTGAAACGAAGAGTGCCTTTCAGTAGCAGACTTAGCAGGAAAGTAATTTTGAATGTAAAACCAGCTTGAGTCAGCTGATAGAGTCGATTGAGTTTCAAAATTGTGAAAGACTTTTGGGAGATAATTCCTGTTTTTAAAAAGTTTGTAATTGACTAAGAGTGCAAAACACAAAAAATACTTTAGAAAAAAGTGAAAAACAGAAGGATGACAGCTCTTAATTTGGTACAGAGGTTACCAAGTGAGCAATAACAGAACTTTCTGGGGCTCAAGGAGTCAGATTTTTGACCATTGAGGTACTGCTGGAATCTATAAAGAAGACAGATTCTAGCATTACAATGTGAACATTTTTTGAGTGCCTACTATGTACCAGATACTACATAGGAAAAGTAATACACACAAACCCCAAGAGATAATTATTTTCCTATTTTTCAGTTAAGAGCAATGACGCTTTTAACCATTGTACTCTTATTGTCTTTGCTTTTCCAAACTTTGTGATATGGGGATTAAAACATGCAGCGTTTTCATTTATTTATTTTAAAAACTTTTTAGCATCTTTATTGCTTTACAATGTTGTGTTTCTGCTTTATAGCAAAGTGAATCAGCTATACGTATACATACATCCCCATATCTCCTCTGCATCTTTATTCCTGTCCTGCCCCTAAGTTCTTCAGAACCTTTTTTTTTTAGATTCCATATATATGTGTTAGCATATGGTATTTGTTTTTCTGTTTGAGTTACTTCACTCTGTATGACAGGCTAGGTCTGCGTCTTTATTCCTGTCCTGCCCCTAAGTTCTTCAGAACCTTTTTTTTTTTTTTAGATTCCATATATATGTGTTAGCATATGGTATTTGTTCTTCTTTTTCTGAGTTACTTCACTCTGTATGACAAACTAGGTCCATCCACCTCACTACAAATAGCTCAATTTCGTTTCTTTTTAGGGCTCAGTAATATTCCATTGTATATATGTGCCACATCTTCTTTATCCATTCATATGTCGATGGACACTTAGGTTGCTTCCATGTCCTGGCTATCGTAAATAGTGCTGCAGTGAATATTGTGGTACATGACTTTTTGAATTATGGTTTTCTCAGGGTATATGCCCATTAGTGGGACTGTTGGGTTGTATGGTAGTTCTGTTTTTAGTTTTTTAAGGAACCTCCATACTGTTCTCCATAGTGGCTGTATCAGTTTACATTCCCACCAACAGTGCAAGAGGGTTTCTTTTTCTCCATACCCTCTCCAGCATTTATTGCTCATAGATTTTTTTTTTAATTAATTAATTTATTTTTGGCTGTGTTGGGTCTTCGTTTCTGTGTGAGGGCTTTCTCTAGTTGCGGCAAGCGGGGGCCACTCTTCATCGCGGTGCGCGGGCCTCTCACTGTCATGGCCTCTCTTGTTGCAGAGCACAGGCTCCAGACGCGCAGGCTCAGTAGTTGGGGCTCATGGGCCTAGTTGCTCTGCGGCATGTGGGATCTTCCCAGACCAGGGCTTGAACCCGTCTCCCCTGCATTGGCAGGCAGATTCTCAACCACTGCGCCACCAGGGAAGCCCTGTTTGTAGGTTTTTTGATGATGGCCATTCTGACCAGTGTGTGGTGATACCTCATTGTAGTTTTGATTTGCATTTCCCTGGTGATGTTGAGCATCCTTTCATGTTTATTGGCAGTCTGTATATCTTCTTTGGAGAAATGTCTATTTAGGTCTTCTGCCCATTTTTGGATTGGGTTTTTTTTTTTTGATATTGAGCTGCATGAGCTGCTTGTAAATTTTAGAGATTAATCCTTTGTCAGTTGCTTCGTTTGCAAATATTTTCTCCCATTCTGAGGGTTGTCTTTTGGTCTTGTTTATGGTTTCCTTTGCTGTGCAAAAGCTTTTAAGTTTCACTAGGTCCCATTTGTGTATTTTTGTTTTTGTTTCCATTTCTCTAGGAGATAGGTCAAAAAGGACCTTGCTGTGATTTATGTCATAGAATTAAAACATTCAGCGTTTTTAGAGTGAAAAACTGCACATGAAAGCATTTTGTAAACTAATCAACTGGTAGAAAGTGCCATTATCCTTTGCAGTAAGACTGCTGATATAAAGCCACCCATCTCACTCATTTAAATAAATTGCACATACATGGGGTGCTCTGGCATAGAATATTTTCCACAGATTAAATTCTAGCTCAGAGGCCTGATGAACTTATTAAAAAAAAAATGGTGAACTGAAAGTGGAAAAAGAAATCACAGGCACCTGGACTTGGATTCAAGCAGGCAATGCATTCCACACTCCAGGCCATTGCCAAAAAGCTCTGTGCTTTGGCCAAGTCTGATTGCTGAAATTATTTTCATGTCTTTTTATTTCACAGTTATTTACACTTCAGCTATATTTGTAGAATGGCCACAAATATTGATAAGCTACTTTGGGGGATTGTTTTTGGGTTTTTTCCCCACCGTTTTATGATACTTGACAAGTTTTGAAGAAATCATTTTAAATTAATTAACTGCATGAGAACTAAAAGGCACATATTTTTGGCTCATTAAACAGAAATTATATAACAGAATATATTTTAAAAGGCAAAATCTTTCCCAAGAAGCACTTTTTATCACAAGATTTATGACACTGTAGGTAGAAGAGAGTAATGTCTCAGAGAAAATATTGATTATACGTAGGGAATAAGCATAGGATTTTAGCTGTGCAAAAATCCCATAGAGGAGAAGAAAGTTATTTAAAATAAAAAGTACAGAATAAAATAAATAAAACTTCAAATAAAATGTTTGGAAAATAAAGTTAAGGAAATTTTACAAATACTAGAAAAAAAGTTGAAAAATGAGAGAAAATATGGAAATGAGCAGATTTTTTCAGGGAATATAAAACTAGTAGGTTCTAGAAGAGGAGTGGAAAAGGAGGGTAGAAAATTATCTTAGAAAGTTTTTAAGTGATTTCCCAGAATTGAAAAACATGGGTTTCTAGATTTAAAAGGCCTAATATTTGCCCAGCAAGGTGAAAGAGGAAAAAAGACTAAAGCAAACAAATTGCAAAATTTCAGAGTACTGGGATAAAGATCTTAAACGTTTCTGAGAAGAAAATAGGTCCTATTCAAAGGATAAAGAATCAGAATGACGTGACATCTCAGCAGCTCTAGAAATTAGAAAATAATGGAACAATGCTTTCAAGCGTTCATTTTATCCTACAATCTATGTTTGACTAAACAACAGTATCAGAATAAAACAGATATTTTCAGACACGTAAGAACTCAAAAATATTATCTTCCATAACCTTTCTTCAAGATGTGTTTCTCAAGAAATTCCAGAAAGCGAGTAAACAAGGAAGACATGGGATATAGGAATTAGGGGGATTCGACATAGGAGAGAGGCAAAAGATGATGGTGAGGGCTTCCAGGAGATGTTGCCATAAACAAACACAGGTAACAAATAGATGACTTGAGCACTTGACCATTTGGAGAAATAGTCAGTCTAGACATATGGATTTAATTAACAGAAGAAATAGCTAAAATAATTGGGAATGAGAGAGGCAGGACTAAGGTGGTAACATAGGAAGCTCCTGAGCTCTCCTCCCCTCACATACACATTGAATGCACAGCTGCACATAGAGCAATTCCCTCTGAAAGACATCCAGAAACTAGCTGAGCAACTCCTATGCATTGGGGAAATGAAAGAATACCCCCATCAAAATGGGTAGCAAAGGCTGAAACACACTTGACATAAATCCCATCCCTGACACAGCACCATATAATCAGGAGGGAATCCCCAACTCCCAACTTCTTCCTGAGGAGCAAAGGGTTTGTAACCCACATCTGCATCCCAGCTTTTAAGATTCTTACCTCAGGGATGGGTCCCCTAAACACCCAGCTCTGAAAGCCAACTGGGCTTGTGTTTATGAGACCTATAAGGATATAGCAAATCCACTTCTTCACAAGTGCATGAGCATTCACTATGGCAGAGCAAAAGGGCACAATCACCTATCTCAA